TATCTATCAATTAATTAATACCATCCAAATACCTACCTATAACTTGTATTCTTTGTTTAGCTATCTTGTCCATAATAGAGCACCACTCTCTTATTTATATCATGGCCTAAGAAAGCTAGTAGATTTTCTTGGTCTAGTAACTTAGGTGTCACTTTACCTTAGTGACTTTTTTACAAAATTATTTCTTCCCTTCTGGTTTTAAAAAATTTTTGTTCTAATTTAATGAATCTTCTGGTTCCTTTTAAACCTAAAATACAATTTCTGGAATGCAGTTAGGATATCCAGGGTGCTGTATATTTTCTTATATTGTCTAAGACAGGAGAATGCTTTTTCTACAAATAAGTAGCATGGCTATATTAAAATACTATTGCTTTGATCTCACTATGAGGGTCATGGGGCAGGCAGTACAGCACAGAGAAGACAAGTAATGACTCTAGAACCTTACTACACTGATAGTGACTTCCACAGAGGAGGTGAGGACTTGATAACATAGGTGAATATTGAAATCACAGTGTTGTTTATGCGAAACCATCATAAGATTGTATATCAGTGATACTTTAATTAAAAAAATACTACTGCTTTGGAAATATTTCCATAGCAGTAAGATGATTTAGAATGTGTGTCTGTGAGTGCATTATAAAATTACTATCTGACATATGTCTCAGAAAATTCCACAGATTCTGCCAGTTTTCGGTTTCTGGCACATTGACTAAAATTTGTACATAAGGAAATCAAACGCTACTGTTCCTTGCTGTCCCAACCCCTGTGGCATTTTGGAATATGAGGTTCAGTTAAATCCTTGCTAATACTGAATCAAATGCCATCATTGTCTTGCTGCATCTACCTCTTAATTCTTTTGGGTGTATATAAATGAGGGAGTGGAGCTGGAAGAAGTAGAGGAGAGAGAGAATATGTAATGATATCACTACTTCAAATTTTCAGTTTGTTCCTTTCATTTAATAACTTCAAAAGAAGTTTTCAGCAGGGCATGGAATATTTCCAAGATTGAGCAGCACCCACAATGAGTTCCAGTCATAGCTAGTGGTTCATCAAAATTCATGGAGTCCTCAGGGTCCTCAGATGTTGCTTAGGATAGTTAAAAGTGAGTAAGTGAAAGAAATACTTAATAAAGAACAGAATAAAAGTATATACTTAACTTTAGAGAGCAACGAATTGGTAGTCGGTACAGATTTTGGTTAGAAAACAGAAGTCGGGGTAAAAGAAAGCTCAGAATATTGAGTTAGATGTTACAAGGTGTCCAAAGCAGAAAGTTTGGCTTATTAAGTACTGTGTCTACTTTCTAAGTGTATCGCCTTCTTTGTGTTTTTATCTAGGGATTTCTTTCATAGGCTAAATTTATTAGTCATGAGATGGTAATGCACTGGCAATAGTTTTCTTCTAAAAAGCAATTATATTTCTACTAGGGACAAGATGTTGGGTGGAGGAATTACAAACTTATTTTGTTTTAGGTTTATTTGGCCATACACAAATATTTTTCCTCTTAGATTCTGGCAAGAAAACCAGCCAACTGGAAAAACATCTGGTGTTGGTTGAGTGAGGGAATGGCATAATAAGTAAAACTTACAGGAAAAAAGTTTTGAAGAAATCTTCCATTTCAACTCTAGATTTCTTTATGAAATCTCTCCCTAAAATTTTCCTCCCACCAAAAGATCTGACCCATGTTGGGCTACCTTTGTGTGTCTCAAGTTTGATTTAAATCAAGGAAATTTAGATTGAAAGTCATAAAATTTTTAAATAAAGGGTTTGTTTTTTTAGCTTTCCTGTTAACAACCACTCTAAAATTTAGTGATTTAAAAAAATTAATTATTCAGCCTGGCAGTTTTTCTAGTCCCTGGAAAAGGTCACTCCTGAGACTGCAGTTTTATATGGTGGCTTGTTTGGGGCATTAGTGTCTGAGATGGCACACTTTGAGATCTTGGTGTCACTGTCAGCTGGCACAGTTTCCACATGGTCTCTCGCTAAGAAGTTTAACCTGGGCTTTCTTATATGGTGGCAGGAATATTTCAAGAAATTAGAGCTTCACTGTCTCTTGTAAGGCTTAGCCTTGAAAATCAGAGTGTTACTTTCACCACATTCTTTTCTTATCAAGTCACCATGTCAACTCAGCTGCAAAGGGTGGGAAAAGGGATTCTTCCTTTTGAAGTGAGGTGCAACAAAATTCCATTGCAAAAGGGCTTTGCCCCAATGAGATGAGACTCATTGGGGTCCCTTATTATAGGGTTCTACCATGGTTTCCCCTCTGGTTCCAGTGATTCACATTCTTATCACATGCAAAATATACCCTCTAAAGACCTCCAGAGTCTTATCTGGAAACAAATAAAGGTGAAGACTTGTAACTTGTTACCTACATAAGATTCAGAGATGGATGAGGGTCCTCCTGTGCAGTTCCTCTTGATCCAGTGACCCTTGAACCAAAAAGAAACATTACACCATACAGACAACATACACTGTTGTCACAATGGTAGAAGAATGATAATAAACATTTCCCCTAGAAAGAGGGAGTAATGGGAGGCACATAGCAGTTGTTGGTCCATACCAATTTTGAAATCTAGCTAGGCACATACATCAGGGTCACTTACTGCAGGAACAGGAAATGTGCCTTGATTGGGGCCTAGTACAGCTTCATGAGAATGGTTCCCTTATCCATTATTCTCTGTGATTCTTAGTACCACATTCTGGGCTCATGATACTGCTGTCTGAGAAGTCTCTCCTTTTATGTAAAAAGCATCTTAGGAAGCTGAGCGGCTTTTTCAGCATACTTCTTCCTATAGGAGGTTGGGAGCACAGAGGCCTCTCTTCATTTTTTTATAGTCTCTGTCCCTTTAATCCAGCTGGCATAACTTCTTTTAAAATTTCTGGGATTTTCTATAAATCTGATTTGTGTTATTCCATGTCCCAAAAGTTACATCATTATAACTCAATTTAAGACAGTCCTCTCATGAATTTTGTTGTGTTAGGCTAATGAGGCATAATTCCATTAAACTTCTTAGAGGCCTTTTTATCTAGCTGAGAGAATAAACAGGCATGGCTTCAGAAATTTCTGAGATCTTAAGAATTTGCAGCCACACCCTTGATCTGATATTTTACCTGAGGATAGTTCTTATTTTGAGAATCCTAATGGTTTGATAGACAGAAGATGAGGAATAGTTTTATTTCCCAAAGTAGCATGTTCTAGGCCCTCAATATTTATTCTCATTTCATTGTAAATTGCAGTTCTCTTCTTAGCATATTTCTTAACACACTTTATCATATACAGGCAGAAGAGGCAATTCACCACTTTCAAAGCAACTAATATAAACATGTTCAAAGACTAAAAGAAACCAGCTTTAATTAATTAAAACAAATGGGTGTTCTGGAATTGAGAAATAGAATAACTGAAAAAGTCACTATAGGGACTCAACAAATTGGAGATCACAGAGAGAATCAGTGAACCTGAAGATAAATCAGTAGAAGTTTACAATTTGAGGAAAAGAATGAAACAAAATAAAGAGAATCCCAGAGATCTGTGAGATACCAGCTGTACCAACTTACTTGTAATAAGAGTCTCAGAAGGAGGTGGGAAAGAAAGAGAAAAAATTTTTTGAAGAAATAATAGCTGAAAATTTCCCAAATTTGATGAAAAATATTTATTTGTACATCCAAAAACCTTAAATACCTCCAAGTGGGAGCAACACAAGTTCTTCAGAAAACAACACATTTTTATTGAACTGTTTAAAGATACAAAAAAAATAATTTGGAAAGCAAGACAAAGACAATTCCTGATATACAAGGGGACTGGCAATATAGTTAACAGTTAACTTTTCATCAGAAACAATGGAAGCCAGAAAGCAGTTGGTTGGCATTCAAAGTGCAGAAAGAAAAAACTGTCAGTTAAGAATTATATCTTCACACATCAAGGGATACCCTCAAGAAATCAAAATACAGCCTAAAGAATGGAAGAAATTATTTGCAGATCATATATCTGATAAGGGTCTAATGTCCAGAATAAAGAACTCTTACAAGTCAGCTACAACGAAACAAACAATGCAGCTTTATAAAGTGCAAAAGACTTGAATAGACATTTCCTCAAAGAAGATACGCAAATAGCCAAAAACATGAAAATATGTTTAACATCATTATTCATTAAGGCAATGAGATAGTTCTTCACACCCACTGGGATGGGTAAAATTGAAAACAGATATAAAGGGAAAATAAGTGCGGGTAATGATGTGGAGAGATTTGGACCCTTGTGCATTTCTGATGGGAATATGAAAGGGTGTAGCCACTGTGGAAAATAATTTGGTGGGTCTGTAAAAACTTAGAAATACCACACAATTCAAAAACTCCACTTCTAGACAGATACTAAAAAAATTGAAAACAAATATTCATAAAAATACCTACATGGAAATAATGTTCATAGCAGCAGTATTCACAATGGCCAAAAGATAGAAACAATCCAAGTGTCCATTGACAGATGGAAGGATTAACAAAATTGCGTATGTCCATACAATGGAATATTATTCAGTCATAAAGCAGAATGGGTTACTGAACCATGTTACTATATGGATAAACCTAAAAAATGTTATTAAAAGTACAGTAAGCCAGACATTAAAGGTCACATATTGAATGATTCCATTTATGTGAAATATCCAGAATAGGGATAATCCACAGTGATAGAAAAGAGATTAGTAGTTGGCTAGGGCCTGGGGTGGAAGGATAGGGTGTAGTAGGTCTCAGGATTGGTACTTAATGAATATAGGGTGTCCTAGGGGGATTAAAAATTTGGAGACTAGAGAGAGGTGGTAGTTGCACAGCATTGTGAATCCACTAAATGCCACTGAATTGTACACTTTAAAATGGTATTGTTTATGTGAATTTCCCTTAAAAAATAATTTTAAAAAAACCTGTAAGTGAATTCTATATCCAGCAAAGCTATTACTGAAAAACTAAGGCAAAATACATTCCCAGATAAACAAATGCAGAAAATTTGTTGTTGGCAGACCTTGCTTTACACAGAACACTAAAGGAAGTTCTTCAAGTTGAAAGGACCTGGCTCCAGATGGCAACTTGAAGAAAAGGCACTATAAAAGTTAATTGCAGAGGTAAATATAAAAGGCTATAAAATTTTTTTCCCTTGTTATTAGTTTAATTGAATGGTCTATTTTCAGATAGTGGGGGAAGTTTATATAGGAGGGCCTAATCAAAGGTCATAAAGATTATGTGCTACTTATTCTAGAAGTCTTATAGTTCTAGTTCTTACATTTAGGCCCATGGTCCATGTTGAGTTAATTTTTATAGTGTGTGGTGAGGACCCAGGTTCATCTTTTTCCATGCTAGATACCCTCTTGTTTCAACACCAATTGTTTAAAGGATGATTCTTTTCCCATTGAATTGTCTTTATTGAAAATCAACTGACCATAAATATAAGTCTTTATTTTTGGATTCTCAGTACTGTTCCATTAATCTATCATATCTCTTTACACCAATAATTCACTGTCTTGTTTTTTTAAATGTCCAGAAAAAGAAAATCTACAAAGACAGCAAGTTAGTGATTGCTTGAGGTTGGGGATCAGCACAGGGATTGATTAAAAATGGGCATGAGATACATTTTTGGGGTGATGGAAATTCATAAAAAGTGAGTTGTGTTGATGTTTGCAGAGTTTTACAAATTTCCTAAAAATTATTGAAGTGTTCACTTAAAACTGGTGAATTCTGTGGTATGTGAATTATACCATAATAAAACTATCCAAAAATGCTATGCAGATGAAATTCCATGACAGTGACAACTTAACAATTATTACAACCTTTTTTGTAAACAAGAAATTTAATGTAGTTCCTATCCCTTGAAATAAATGGGCCATAAGCTGTCTCTAGGCTTTTGTTTCTTCAGGTATTTTAATTGTTATTTCTTGTAGTAATATTAAGTCTTTTTACTGTCTTAAGTCGTTTGTGTTTTATTTGCCAAATTTAGGATAACATCCAGTTTATTATTTTTTATATAAATATATAAATATTATAAAATATTTTTTCCTTTTTTTGCAAGGCACTCTGCTATAGACTACAAAGTGAAAAATCTGTGGGAACCTCTGGAAATTTCTAGTCATTGTGTTTGTTGCTGACTGTACTATGGTAAACTAAACAGAAGTCTCCTTTGCCTCTCCGAGCTTACAGTCTGAAATAAGAGACACCAGACTAGCTCAGAACTGGTGTTCTAAACTTTGGGGTTTCACAAGGGAAGGAACAGTCGTATATAGTTAAGAAGATTGGAAAGGGTTTCACGAAATAGGTAGCATGTCCAATGGGCATGATCTATTTATTTTGACAGAATAGGCAAGTTTGGTTGCACAGGTGCTTTAGAGAAAACAGCATGAACAAAGGCACAGAGCCTATTTGAGGAGAAGCAAATGGTCCTTAAATTCTATTATATTTTGGCTTCCCTCCTATTGGTAATAATTAACCATTTGTAATTAAAAGTTTCTATGAATTGTAAAGTGCACCATTATTTTATAAACCATGAAAGATGCTTTTCATTTTAGTTGTCAAATGCTTGCTTCCTAAATTGAGAAATGTTAAAATGTGAAAATAAAATTTTCTTAATTGTAGAAAAATACATATAAAATTAGCCATCATAATCCATTTTTGGTGTACAATACATTCATAATGTGAAGCCAGCCTCCAGAACTCTTTCTTTATCTTGCAAAACAAAAGCTACCTTTTAAAATCTAAAAATGTATTAGTAAATTCATGTATCAGAGACCCAAATTAAAGGTGGCTAAATATGAGAAGTTTATTCTTCTCTCATATAAAGTCCAGAGGCCTGGTGTCTCTGCAGTCATCTGCAGACTTTTTCTAGTTTTCTACTCATCTTTAAAACTGTGCCCTCAACTTCATGGTACAAGATGGAGTTCAGTCATTCCAACTGTATTTTTTTTCTGGTATCATTAATCTACAATTACATGAGGAATATTATGTTTACTAGACTCCCCCCATCACCAAGTTCCCCCCACATACCCCATTACAGTCACTGTCCATCAGCGTAGTAAGATGCTGTAGAGTTACTACTTGTCTTCTCTGTGTTGTACAGCCCTCCCTGTTCCCTCCCCCGACATTATACATGCTAATCATAATGCCCCCTTTCTTTCCCACCCCCCTTAGCCCTCCCTTCCCACCCATCCTCCCCAGTCCCTTTCCTTTGGTAACTGTTAGTCCATTCTTGGGTTCTGTGAGTCTGCTGCTGTTTTGTTCCTTCAGTTTTTTTCTTTGTTCTTATACTCCACAGATGAGTGAAATCATTTGATACTTTCCTTTTTCCACCTGGCTTATTTCACTGAGCATAATACCCTCTAGCTCCATCCATGTTGTTGCAAATGGTAGGATTTGTTTCTTCTTATGGCTGAATAATAGTCCATTGTGTTTATGTACCACATCTTCTTTATCCATTCATCTACTGATGGACTTAGGTTGCTTCCATTTCTTGGCTATTGTAAACAGTGCTGCGATAAACATAGGGGTGCATCTGTCTTTTTCAAACTGGGCTACTGCATTCTTAGGGTAAATTCCTAGGAGTGGAACTCCTGGGTCAAATGGTATTTCTATTTTTAGTTTTTTGGGGAACCTCCATACTGCTTTCCACAATGGTTGAACTACTTTACATTCCCACCAGCAGTGTAGGAGGGTTCCCCGTTTTCCACAACCTCACCAACATTTGTTGTTGTTTGTTTTTTGGATGGTGGCGAACCTTACTGGTGTGAGGTGATACCTCATTGTGGTTTTAATTTGCATTTCCCTGATGACTAGTGATGTGGAGCATCATTTCTTGTGTCAGTTGGCCATCTGAACTTCTTCTTTGGAGAACTGTCTGTTCAGCTCCTCTGACCATTTTCTAATTGGCCTATTTGCTTTTTGTTTGTTGAGGTGCGTGAGCTCTTTATATATTTTGGATGTCAACCCTTTATCGGATCTGTCATTTATTAATATATCTTCCCATACTGTAGGATGCCTTTTTGTTCTATTGGTGGTGTCCTTTGCTGTACAGAAGCTTTTCAGCTTGATATAGCCCCACTTGTTCATTTTTGCTTTTGTTTCCCTTGCCCGGGGAGATATGTTCATGAAGAAGTCTCTCATGTTTATGTCCAAGAGATTTTTGCGTATGTTTTTTTCAAAGAGTTTTATGGTTTCATGACTTACATTCAGGTCTTTGATCCATTTGGAGTTTACTTTTGTGTATGGGATTAGACAATGATCCAGTTTCATTCTCTTACATGTAGCTGTCCAGTTTTGCCAACACCAGTTGTTAAAGAGGCTGTCATTTCCCCATTGTATGTCCATGGCTCCTTTATCATATATTAATTGACCATATATATTTGGGTTAATATCTGGACTCTATTCTGTTCCACTGGTCTGTGGTCTGTTCTTGTGCCAGTACCAGATTGTGTTAATTATTGTGGCTTTGTAGTAGAGCTTGAAGTTGGGAAGTGAGATTTCCCCCTGCTTTATTCTTCTTTTTCAGGATTGCTTTGGCTATTCGGGGTCTTTTGTGGTTCAATATTTTAAACTATTTGTTCCAGTTCATTGAAAAATGCTGTTGGTATTTTGATAGGTATTGCATTGCACCTGTAGATTGCTTTAGGCAGGATGGCCATTTTGACGATATTAATTCTTCCTAGCCAGGAGCATGGGATAAGTTTCCATTTGTTAGTGTCCTCTTTAATTTCTCTTAAGAGTGTCTTATAGTTTTCAGGGTATAGGTCTTTCACTTCCTTGGTTAGGTTTATTCCTAGGTATTTTATTCTTTTTGATGCAATTGTGAATGGAATTGTTTTCCTGATTTCTCTTTCTATTAGTTCATTGTTAGTGTATAGGAAAGCCACAGATTTCTGTGTGTTAATTTTGTATCCTGCAACTTTGCTGAATTCTGATATCAGTTCTAGTAGTTTTAGAGTGGAGTCTTTAGGGTTTTTTATGTACAATATCATGTCATCTGCAAATAGTGACAGTTTAACTTCATCTTTACCAATCTAGATTCCTTGTATTTCTTTGTTTTGTCTAATTGCCATGGCTGGGACCTCCAGTACTATGTTGAATAACAGCGGGGATAGTGGGCATCCCTGTCTTGTTCCCAATCTCAGAGGAAAAGCTTTCAGCTTCTTGCAGTTCACAGTATGATGTTGGCTGTGGGTTTATCATATATGGCCTTTATTATGTTGAGGTACTTGCCCTCTATACCCATTTTGTTGAGTTTTTATCATGAATGGATGTTGAATTTTGTCGAATGCTTTTTCAGCATCTATGGAGATGATCATGTGGTTTTTGTCCTTCTTTTTTTTGATGTGGTGGATGATGTTGATGGATTTTCGAATGTTGTACCATCCTTGCATCCCTGGGATGAATCCCACTTGGTCATGGTGTATGATCCTTTTGATGTATTTTTGAATTCAGTTCGCTAATTATTTTGTTGAGTATTTTTGCATCTATGTTCATCAGGAATATTGTTCTGTAATTGTCTTTTTTGGTGGGATCTTTGCCTGGTTTTGGTATTAGAGTGATGCTGGCTTCCTAGAATGAGTTTGGAAGTATTCCCTCCTCTTCTGTTTTTTGGAAAACTTTAAGGGGAATGGGTATTATGTCTTCTCTAAATGTCTGATAAAATTCTCTGGTGAATCCATCTGGCCCTGGAGTTTTGTTCTTGCATAGTTTTTTGATTACTGATTCAATTTCATTGCTAGTAATTGATGTGTTTAGATTTTGTGTTTCTTCCTTGGTCAGTCTTGGAAGGTTGTATTTTTCTAGGAAGTTGTCCATTTCTCCTAGGTTTTCCAGCTTGTTAGCATATAGATTCTCATAGTATTCTCTAATCATTCTTTGTATTTCTGTGGGGTCCGTAGTGATTTTTCCTTTCCCATTTCTGATTCTCTTGATGTGTGTAGATTCTCTTTTCCTCTTAATAAGTCTGGCTAGGGAGTTACCTATTTTGTTTATTTTCTCAAAGAACCAGCTTTTGGTTTCATTGATATTTTTCTATTGTTTTATTCTTCTGAATGTTATTTATTTCTTCTCTGATCTTTATTATGTCCCTCCTTCTACTGACTTTGGGCCTCATTTG